AAACTTAAATGTTAGCTCCAAAACTAATATATATAAATCTGTGGTGATGTTTGGCATTAGCTCCAAAGCTAATAAATTTATTGTGACATATGGCATTAGCTCCAAAGCTAATAAATTTATTGTGACATATGGGATTAGCTCCAGAGCTAATAAATATATTGTGACATATGACATTAGCTCTAGAGCTAATAAATATATTGTGACATATGACATTAGCTCTAGAGCTAATAAATATATTGCAGCTTCAGAGCTAATAAATATATTGCAGCTTCAGAGCTAATAAATATTTTGTGACATATGGCATTAGCTCCAGAGCTAATAAATATATTGTGACATATGGCATTAGCTCCAGAGCTAATAAATATATTGTGACATATGGCATTAGCTCTAGAGCTAATAAATATATTGCAACTTCAGAGCTAATAAATATATTGCAGCTTCAGAGCTAATAAATATTTTGTGACATATGGCATTAGCTTCAGAGCTAATGAATATATTGTGACCCATGGCATTAGCTCTAGAGCTAATAAATATATTGCAACTTCAGAGCTAATAAATATTTTATGGCATATGGCATTAGCTCCAGAGCTAATAAATATATTGCAACTTCAGAGCTAATAAATATTTTATGACATATGGCATTAGCTTCAGAGCTAATGAATATATTGTGACATATGGCATTAGCTTCAGAGCTAATGAATATATTGGCTGTGTCCAAAAGGGTGGGCCGGGTCTTCCGAAGGCTGAATTGGTCGGCCGCATACGTCACAGCGCCACAACAGAGGCTGTCCAAAACCAAAGACTCCTCCAACGCGGCCGACAAATGCATCCTTCCTTTGGCCCGAATCGAAGCACTGGTTCGATGGATCGTTCTCGGCCCACCATATCCCATAATGCACTGCAGCCCGACCGGAGATTTTTTAATGCTAGTTATGGCGGACGAAGTGAGATAAAAGAATATGTTTTAAATAAGAATATGGCGATATAAAAATTTAAATTTTCTAGCCGTTCTAATTTTAATAATTTTATGATTTGTATAGACATGTTCTTAAGTGTTATTTTTGTTAGAAAAAAACATGAAATAAATGGTTTTTCCATTAGTTCTTCAAATATTACCTTTAAGTTAATTTTATAGTTTTGTGATATTAATAATGCTAGTATATTGATATTTTTCTAATTTTGATCTAAGTTTGCTTCTGTTTAGCGTCGTCACGGTTGCTAGTTAACATGACGTACGCTGGGGTAAGGACGGGAAGTTAGACCATCCAAATTCACAGCCTCTTTTTTCCGGTCTTCCTGGTCTGCCAAGGACTCGGCCCACCTCAACCGGTAGGCTGGGTCTTCCGGAGGACCCGGCCTGCCATTTTGGACACAGTTCTAGTGACGTATTGCATTAGCTTCAGAGCTAATAAATAAATTGTAATGTGTGGCATTAGCTCCAGAGCTAATAAATTGTAATGTATGGCATTAGCTCCAGAGCTAATAAAAATAGGTCTAGTATGACATTAGCTCATTGTCATTTATGGGTTGAAAAGATCAAATGAGATGTTTCGCCATGTATCACTAACCATCACATTTTGATCATTTCAACCCATATGGTGCAAAACATAAAAACAATTAACATAATAAAAACATTTATTGTCACGCACTTTAGATTTTTAGCCCTAACTTTGTGTTTCAATCTAATGGCACTCATTATCCCAGAATGCATTTCCTCAGTAACAAAAATGGTGACGTGCTTAAATTAAAATGTACAATTTTTTAAGTAATTACATGTTTTCACATACCACAAACACCAACTTATGGTGGAAATAGAAAAACAAGATTTGAAGGCCAACATGTGCAAGTAGTCAGAGATCCCTTTAAAACAGTGACTAAATGATTCTGGTGTCATCAACAATAAAATCAAACTGATTATTTTTTGTTTGGCTGTGGATTGGGTTTCTAAAAAAGTGTAACATTTAAGATGAGGGTCTAATATTTATTTCACTTCTCTGTGAGGATATGAAACTAAACGCTGGGTCATTTTGCACTCTCAGAACAAAAAAGAGAAAAGGAAAATCTCATGTTAAGTAAGAGCGTCTAAGCCTCTTAGTTGTTTTATGCTTGTGAGTAAAGCCCTAGATTAAACAGCATCTACTGGCACCGTATCTTTGCATCCATATGGTATCTAAATTATGCAAACAACAGCCTGAGACAGATCAAGCATATTTTATAACACATTTAATATCAAAATAAACACCATCCAGAGTTCAGCAAAGCTACACAATATACAGTATTTTTCCCCTATATTCTAAACGTGAGAAGAACATGTTAAAGGTGAAAATGGCTGTGCAAACAGAGCCAGCTTATGATTCTCTTGGAAGATATGAGTCACAAATTACAAATAATCACAGATTATGGTAATCATGTGGAAAAAGCCCAGTCAGTGTCTTTGTGGAGATATATAAAAAAAATCTGGATTTAAAAAGTGCTTATATGAGTACACAAAATTCAACATTATTGCTGGAAAAAAAAAACTAAAAACTTTTTTTTAACTTTTCTTTCTGAAAGACTCCCATTCATACAAAAACAATACCCTTAAAACATAGCAATTTTGTTTTAGTTACAGCAGGTTATAGAACCCATTATGACTTGATACTGTAGAAGTGGGCTTTCAGGTCTCAAGCAGTTGCAATATGGATAAATGGAGAAATTGGTAATTCCCAATCAGAGCTGATGTTTATAACTTTGCAGACTTTTTTTAATTAATCAAAAGCAGAGAAATGGGCAGCTTGACCAGAAAACCCAAAGCTCAGGTCGTAATGGGTTGCTGAAAAAAGGCATGAACAATGCAAATAAAACAAAATCTGGAATTTTCCCACTTCAATGTCAGCATCAAGGGGGCAAAAACAAAAACATAAAAATAAAAAAATAACAGCAGAGTTACTTGTATTGCATTTACATTAAGTAGGTAGTGTCATGATGAAGAGGCTATCCAAGGGGGGAGTTAACAAAGTGATGCACGATCCTTTTCCACGTCATGAAAATGCATTTAAGAGACGAGTCGCTGCACTTATATTTCCACATAAAGTAGCAAGGCCTCAGTAAATAAAATGTATTGATTAGACAGAAGAAATAAAATGAAATGTTTCATGCTGCAGTTTGTGCCATTTTGTTGCGTCTTTGAAATGCTAACACATAAGAAGCTTTTTGATCAAAGCTGCAAATTTGAAGAAAATAAACGCTGTAGGCACCGGGCTTGGATTTGAAAACTTAAATGGAGCACAGTAGTTTTGTACCATTATGGAAGCATTTATATAGTATATATATATATATATATATATAAAGATGGCACCTCAGAACAGACAAATCCTCTTTGCAACCCTAACTGCTGCTCCATTTTTGCTCTTATAAGTTTAGCCAAATCGTAGCTAGTTCTGTGTCCAGTTAAGGTTCAGTGGCCAAGCCGAATTAGATCTTGTTTTGACAAAAAAAAAAAAAAGGTAGCTAAAATGCTGTCAATGCCATTTTGTCCCCTTTAAACTTAAAAAAAATTTTTTTACACAAAAACAGAGCCTTTGGTTTTAGTTGCTGGATGAAAAGTGTTCCTGCGCTCAGCCTGATTGATGTCATTTGAGTGAAATTAGCATCCGCTCCCTCAGAATGAAAAAGACACTGTTGGTATTTTCCCAATTATTCCACTTTATTTAACAGTTTTTCCTCTCCTCCCTTCTTTCCATTTCCCCTCCATCAGACCAAGCTTTCCTGCTACTTGTGTGGAAAGCATTAATCTAACACTCTGCAGCATTCAGAGAGCTATTTACAATATGCAAAACCACACAGAGTGCTTTTCAAAAAACGAGAACGAGGGAGACGTGAAAACATCGTTCATGGCGATTGATTAATTCGCAGCTTTTGGTTTATCCACTTGTTTCTTTCTTTTCATATGAAAAGATGGGGAAGGTTTCATCTCTTTTTACTGCACCTCCTCCCATTACCCCCCCCTCCCCCAAATCAGGCCCAGGAACAGAGGGTGTCAGACAAGCGAAATAGGGAAAAATAAGGGAGCGCTCAGCAGGGCTTAGTGTGGATTAGCATGGTTAGTCTCACTCAATGAC